CTGAGGGTCAAGCGCGGATGCCACCCCTTCACCTGCAGCCAGCCCTCCCCGTACCTTTCCCCGGCCCTGGGGCTGTCCGAGCCCTCCCTGACCTCCGCGGGAGCTCCAGGACCAGTGCCGCTGCCCCAACTCCTGCACCGCGCGCCTCCGGGGTCAGACGGCGAAGTGGTGGAGACCAAGTTCGAATGCCCAGCCTGTCCCGCTAGTGCGATTCTGAAACTTCCCGGACCTGGCGCCTCAGTTTCTCTTAGCAGTAACAATAGCCTCTTTTTATAGCGGCCGTGAGAACAAATAGGTACCAGGTGCGGAAGTGTCCGACGCGCAGTGTGCAGTCAAGAAACGGTAGTTACACAACCAGGGGACCAAGAAATCACATGGCGCCGGTCTCCTGGCCCAGAGAAAGTCCCCCCCAGATTCTGCCAACAGTGAGCTTTTGAGCTGGTGAGAGCCCCAGGCAGGGCAGATCAATGAGGGACTTGGAGGGGCCCTGGAGGAAGGGGATGGAGGTGGGCAGCTTTGCTGCAGCTGCCTAGGATTCTGAGGTTTGGGGCAGACCACTGGCCCGGGGTGGGGATCCAAATCTGCTTCCCCCACCACCCCATGATCGTGCCATGGAGATGGGGCTCCCAAGAGGAAGCCCCAGAAACTCAGGCTGGGTGTATGGGGACTGATAGCCTGGACCAGCAGAAACGGAGTCCTCCAAGCCAAGGACTACCAGGCCTGGCAGGTGGGGATGGCTTTGTTGCCTGCAGTTGCTCCAGGCTCCCGGGCTTCTGTCCTAATCAAGATCACCTGATCAAAGGGAGGAAAGGACTGGGGTTACCCAGGATTGAGGTCCCCCACTGAACCCTCATGTCTTAGAGATTGGTGTTAGCCTCAGCATCTAGTGGGACTATTTGTGCCCAGAAAGCCTCCCCACAGCCACCAAAGCTAACGCCCATCACGGAGGCTGATCTGGGACAGCTGGGACCTGCTATTTAGGGAAAGAGACACCACTTTGTGTTGGGGTATAGCAGGCCTCAGACAGCTCCTGATCTAGCCCTGGCAAAGGCAAAGGTTGAAATCACACTAAAGAAGTCCTCTCTTTAGGTGCTTGGATTTGTGCTGACCTCTTGGGAGACCTCTAAGAAAGACTCCTTTTGGGGCAGTGAGAGAGGCCCCTCTAGGGCCTGGAGAGGCAGGCTTTCTTTGCTCCCATCCAATGTTATGAAGAGTCCTGCAGGTAACTCCATTAGAGGGTGACCAGTCTGCCCTCTGATGAAACCCTGGCACCCTGCAGAGTGCATTTCCAAGCTCCAGCCTAAGACACTTGTAGAGCTTCAAGAAGGGAATCCCAGGAAGCTACATGAAGGGCTTTGGCCCTGTGATGCCCAGTGGCAGGGCCTTTTGGAACCAAATTTGGGTCCACTGCAATCTTCCCCTGACCCAGGGAACCCTGAGTCCTTTCTCCCTCCCTTCTCACCCAGTGGGTGGCCAGTGGCAGCTCCAGGAATGAGGACTAACTGGACACAGGTTGGATCTGGCAGGGAAACAGCAGTCTGTTTACCTCCAGTCCCAGGTACTCTAAGGGGTGGAGAGCTCAGGCATCACCTTCACTTTCCTGGCTCCCCAAGTGCCCTGTCTGCTCACAGGACCTTGTACACACCACTGTATCCAAAGACAGCCTCTCTCCTAGGGCACATCTGCTCACTGTATGCACAGCACTGCAGTGTTTTCACCCTCTCTTGTACAGTTTTTCTCTCATGCCTTCTCTCATCTCTAATCTATCCACCCACACAGTGCCACACCCCCCTACTTCAGTGTCCTCTAGGCAGCTTTCAGTGCCCAGAAGACTGAAGCCATACAGCTGGGGTGAGAACATGCAAAAGGGAAGGGACTCAGTCAGGTGTCCTACTCCACCTGGGTCCTTTCTTACCAGACTCTCAACAGAAAAAATATTCACATCTCTCTCTCCCAGGAGACAGTGCTGGTGGGGGTCTTGGAGGCCAAGTTCCCTACACCCTGATTCCTATGCCCCAACTTGGCTGGCCTCTGCTTTTCTCAAGGGCCAAGATAGTGTCTCCTAAAATGACTAGGATGGCCAAGGATTGTGTAGTACGGTGCTCTTTCTCCAGATCTCCGTTTAAACTCTCTTGATGTGGTCTGACATCACCACATGCTACCCAAGTGGGTAACCCTTGGGGTAGTGACTCAAGGGTCCTGGTCAAGTACTCAGGATGCCCAAAGGGTACAGGGGGATGGACTGAAGGGACAAACTGCTATAAGCCCTCCACACTCCCCTCTGTCTCCTGTAGCTCTGGATTTCTTTTTGTTCAGTCCAGCCAGCTGCCACTAATGACTGGGTTCTACTTTTTTCATTAAGTTTGGCCCAAGAAGGCTGCATGGGCCTGGGATCTGGTTGGTAACAAATGAAGGATGTGTCTCATTTTTGGTGCAGTTAAAGGGAAAGGGAAACTGGCCTTCCATAGCTACATCTCTTTAAGTTCCAGAGCACAACTTGGTGGCTCCCATGACTATGTAGAACCTCAGGCACGGTGGATGGGAGAGGGCATCTGGCTGTGGAGACTCCTGTGTCACGGATGCTGACATGAGTGGCTGTATTCATCCTGCAAGGTCTGTGAGGATATTGGTTCAGTCAGCGGTCTCTAGTGCTGCCAGCAGCTCAACTGGCTCATACACTTTATGCAGTGGGAGAATAGCTACACAGATTTTTCAAAACTTCTGCATAGTTTCCCCCACCTGGTTTAAATAAATATTTTCAGAGTTAGTTGTCCAGAGGAGAGGGAAAGAAGGAAGTCACAGCAAGTTGTCCCACTTTGCAGAATTTGTTTTACCAAAGAAATCTTGGGACAGGGGCCCCACCTGCTACTGGCTCGTGAGTGTCAGGCAAACACTGGAGATCCCAAGGGCACCACCTGGGTAGATGCTACAGGGGGTGCCTCAGTGGGATCCTGCTTGGTTGCCACCTGGGGCTGGAGCTGTCTCTGGGACCAAGCAGCTAGGTGCTGAGGTCCTCCCTATGCAGGTTGGTGGGCAGGGATGCCTATGTATGGTTATGGATTTGCATGCTTTGGGGAGAGAAACCTGTGTTGGTGTGTGTGTGAACACAGAAGCTTGGAGAGGTTCACATATGTATCTGTGAGGGAGACTGCCAGAGGACAAGTGTGTCTGGAAATGGATTGAAGGTCTGTGTGTGTTTGCTTATGTGCTTTGTGTGCCTGCAGGCGTGCACATGTATGTGACAAGTGTGTGCTTCCCTAGGGTGCCACTATGTGTAATAAGTTGAGAAGTTTGATACAGTGAGAAGTTCAGGTGCTATCCAATATGCATGGAACATCGCAGGCACTTAGAAATCGTGAATCGAATTAATTTTAGGTGTGTATGTTCATATCCATGTGAAAATTAGTACAGAGCCTAATTTCCAGTGAGTGGGGGACTGGAAAACAGACGGTAGGGATGATTCAGGGCCCCAACGCTTCTGTGTTTCCCTCCTTCACCCAAGAATAAGTACAAAAAGCGAAGTGGGGCATCCCCAAGCAGTCTGGCCCACTGGGCAGATGCATGGTGACTTTCTGAAATCACTTGAGTCTCCAGATGTTCAGGCAGTAGGCACTCTGCATGTCACCCTTTTGGTTGGGCCACTCCGGTCCTGTAAGTAAGCAGTGCATCTGGGAGAGGCCACGAAAACTGCCTGGGCTGGAGTTTCTCTTGCAGTGCAGAGTGGACAGTCGCTGGGTGCCGGCCTCAATGAGTAGCCCTAGCCTCATGGCTACAAACTTGAACTTCAGATGCAGCCTCCAACGCTGTCAGGCCACCTGGGTTAGCGCGGGTAGAAATCTTTGATATTTAAAAAATCTGAGAAAAATATCTTTTGACTTTACTCCATTTTATCAAGAAGCGCTAATTTTGCCTAAAAGGAAAAATCCCAAGAGGTCCCGGGGACCTAGGATCTCATCCCTTCTATCCTTTCCCGTCCAGGAACTGCAGGCTTGGCCTTGGCATTCTGGTCTCAAAAAAGGGATGTGTTCGGTATTACAGCCACTGCGAACGAGCTCGCACTGAAAAGCTTCGACTTGTTCCTCAGAGTCTGCAGTGGGGTGGGGGCTTGAACGCGTCAGTTTAGAGGAGCCAAGAACCCGAAGCGGAGCCGCCTAGGTTAATTATCACTCAAAGCACCTGAAGCGCGCAGGGCACCCAAGGCAACTCCTCGGCCAGGTCCCCACCCCACCCCGCCTCTAGCCAACGCAGGCTCCCACTTGTTCCTGTCTACTACACGAGCCCACCTGCCATCCCGGCCCATCTCTGCTTCTGCCGCCCCGTCCTTCACCTCCACCGCAAACCCACACAGGCGACGAGCGCAGGTCTGAGAGCGCAGAGAATTTTGCCCACCGGATGAGCGCCTGGAGCCTGAGTTTCAACTGCCCCTGGGGCAAGAGAATCAGCACAGATTCCCCCACCCCCAGCTTCCGTGACTTCGACCAGGACACGAAACTTCAGAGGCAGGATTTGTTTTCCAACCTCTGCAACTCCGAAGCCCGTACCTGTGACCCCCGGCGCCTTGCTCTCCTCTCCCATCCCAATCCCCCAAGTGAAAAAAGAGGCCGGCGGGGCTTCTGGCCCAGACTGGTTTGGGAAGAAACAGGCCGCCCCCTCTCTGCTTCTGCCGGGAGTTTCCCGGGACTGAGGGCCTTGGGGACGGAAGTTTCACAGTTTTCAGTGGGAATGCCTCTTTCGGGGGACTCAACAGAACGTCTCGGCTCAGAACGGCCCACCCGGGCTGCCCAGTTTCCGTGGGGAAATCACACACTGCTGTATTCCCGGCCTTCAGGCCACGTGGCATATATTCATATATATATAATTTATGATTTCTAATTTTATTATAAAATAAAAGCAGAAATATTTCCCGAAGAACATTCACAAGAGGGCACGACAGGGAAACGGCAAGTCCGCGGCTCAGGAGGCACTCTGCCCGGAGCG